TTCATAAGGGAGTGGGAGGAGCCTGTGCTATGGAGAGAGCACAGTGCTGGTGGTGGAGGCTCACAGCTCCTCACTGTGGAGCATGACCTGAGGGTGAGGGCCGAAGCACCTGCACAGCTGGAGTCCCAGCCACCCCAGTAAGTCACAGCTCTGCAAGCTGCAAGCTCCTTGAGGCAACAAGAGCCAACCCTCTGGCCTCACATATCTTGTGAGATTGTTTTCAGTCCCCCATGAAAGGGCCTGATGTGTTTCTGACTCTGCAAGTGCTCACTAAATATTGCTTGCTTTGGCTCTGACCAGCCTCGACTGTAGCTTACTGTTACATAGCAACCAAGCACCTGGCTTACTGAGCTGAGTCCGGGCTGCCTGAAGACAGACAAGCACATGGGGTGGGGGAGACTGGGGGGGCCCTCCCAGTGTGGCCCTTGGCAGCTATGAGGGACAGAGCCAACTTGGATTCTTTAGACTGAAAGGGCAAACAACTTAGAGAAGGTGACAAGATCTGAAACATAATAAATAATTAAGCAGCATTGTCCCATTTGAAGTTTGAAAATGGCAGTTTCTAGGACACATTGCACTGTCACACGCTGGGTAGAAATGTCAGGAACAGATTATATTCTATATGCCGATTTAGAGCTGAACGTGAGAGTTAGAAGAGAATTAAATCTTGATTGATAGGTATGCACTGCATGATTTTTATCTGACTGCTAATCTGCCTGAGGTGATGCCCCCCCTTTGGATGCCATGGAACCTAGCCATACCTTCCTTCCCAGAGGCATCCTGAGCGCTGCTGTCGCCAGCCACTGACACTGAACTGAATGGACCCCCAATGACATTTAGAAGTAGTTTTTATTTATTTTTAAGTAGTTTTACTGAAATATCATTGACACATGAATTTTTATATATTCAAATTATACAGCTTGAAGTTTTGAATTGTGTATGTTGTGAAACCATCACTACAGTGTAATTAGCACATTCTTTACCATTATATAACTACCACAGTATGTATCTCCAGAAATCTCTCATTTGAACGTAATTGAAACTCTATATTCCCTGATGATATTTACTATACAAATAATTTATTAGGCATTTTCTCAGGCAGGACATTGATGGGTCTGTGGTGTATATGCAGAAAATGGCAAATAGGGCTAAAGCATAATTGGAAATCTCTCGTTTATGAGTAAAATAATAGAGCAAATGGAGATTTGGATTTCCATGCAGCTTATTAAGCATCAGTTTCATCCCCTTTACTTGCAAGGCCAATTCCTGGGCCCTGTGGTCACTTTTGCATTCATAGACATGTTTCTTTTTCCTACAGGGGCCCCCTAAATTGCTGAAGCTCCAAGCCTTACAAGACCTGGGTGTGGCACTGGAACACTGACCTTGAGATAAAGGATTGGCTGTGAACGCATGTAAGGGAGGCACACTTCCTCCTTCCCTAGCAATACCAGCACGTTGTTTTGCACAGCAGAGAATCAGAGAGATTGAGCAAGGTCACCTAGTGCTCCAGCTAGATGTCAAGGGCCTGCTGCAGTTCTTTCTTCCTCCTTGGGTTTCTAGGACTTTACTGCAGAATTCCATTCCAGAACGGCTGTCCGAGAGGAGCAAGCATCCCACCCTCAGCAACCCCTCCACACATGCACCCCGCTGGCACCAGTTCTCTGGACTCTTTTCTCCCATAGCTCCATGGTATTCTGTGTATTCAAGGGCCCTCGTGTCTGGTGAAGTTTCCATGACTGTTCTGACAAAGCAAGGAAAGCCTTTCTCATGTCAAAAAAGCCACTCTGTAATAGAGGAAAGTGGAGCCAAAACTCCACCTTGGCATAAGCAGGGCTGTTTCTTCGAGAAAAAAAAAAAAAGTTGGGAAGGAGGAAAAGAATGAGGGGACAGAGCCAACCCAGTTCACCTTAGTGAAATGATGTTATGGTAAACTGACAGTTTTATGGCTTCACTTATAAGCTTCCTCCCCTGCCAGAGCACTCTGTTCTAGAAATTATTTTATTTCAGAAGACTTTTGTAAGACATTCAAAGTGTACTTTATGCTCAGGCTTAATGACCTTCAACCTAGAGACTCAGACACACCATCACTTCTCCTAGTGTTTTTTGCAAATAACTTGCTTTTCCGTTTGCTTACAATGGGTCTACTTTGCTTGCAAAAAATGATTTCCATTGTGTAAGACCTTGGACTTGAGACAACACCTTTCCTGGTCTTGATTTATAGACAGGCAGAGTTAAGAGGAAAAGACCAGAATTAAAGTCTAGAGACCCAGCTCTTTAACCATCAGATCTTGGATCAGTCATTTATAACTGTGAGTCTTGCTTTGTTTTCATAGTAGAGTCTTTTAGCAGAAAGCCATTAGAGCTAACCCCTGCCTGCCCATATTAAAAGGCTTAGAGAGGGTCAGGGATTTGGCTCAGTGGTTCCGCCACTTGCCTCACAAGTGCAAGGGCCTGGGTTCGATCCCCAGTACCAAAAAAAAAAAAAAAAAAGGTTTAGTCAACGAAAGTAATAAAGTATCATTATTACCATGCAGTGGATGATAGTCTCTCAGAGAAAGTTTTCCCCTGATAGAAGTCGGAAAATTCCTGATGAGTCTTGAACAAGGGGAATTTGCAGTGTGAAAATAAACCCTTATAGGGCTGGGGATTTAGCTCAGTGGTACTGTGCCTGCCTTGCAAGCACAAGGTCCTGAGTTCAATCCCCAGTATGGAAAAAACAATTAACCTTTCAACCATGTCTCCAGAGCTGGTTTACAATACACATCATGGAAATAACAGTGTGGAGGTGAGTCAGATCTGCGCTGTGCTCTTGGACATGCCTTGCCACTATCCCCTTTCCCTACAGCTCCTTCCCTTGACCAAAGTTTCTCTGCCTACCAGAGCCATGGAGGCCCTAAGATCAGCTCTTGAGACCCACCTTGCTCACCACCCACCACCACCGCCTCACTTCGTCATCTCTCCTCCTGGCGTGACTCCCTCACCACCCATGCTCATGTTCATGCCTTGTTCACCTTCCCAAGGTGTTCTCTCCCACTCAGCAGCGGTCAGGCAGCAGATGAGTCAGACTACCTGCCACCCTAAGGAACTTTCTAGGATCTTGGGGCTCTCAAAGAAGGGCTTTCGGTGGCACAAATGCCACCTTTCTGAAGAAAAATCCCTCATTTTTAAATTCGGCGTTAGAGCATGTGCATGAATGAGGAGAGCTGGGGAAGAGCTCGGAGGGCTGCGGGTGAGGACATTGCTTCCCAACCTGACAGATCCTCTCCTGCCTGTACTGTGGGGTGTTCACGGAGGACAGAGCTGAGCAGAGCTGCAGGAGCTGAGCCTGCTGGTCTGCATTGCAGCTCTGTGTAAGACAAAGAGAGAGATTGCCACCTATTGACAAATGTGTCACCTGCACAGAGGTGTGGCTGTTAACGAATGGCTCCCTGACATTGCCTGTGCTCTGCAGACAGGCCATGAGAGTTCTGTGCCCTTTGCTTTTTCTATTCCATCAGTCCTGTTGCTCTCAGTATTTCCATTCCATTGTAAGGGAGGACAGGAAAGAATGGGGACGTGGTGGCCCCAGGGGCAAACGACAGCATCTCAGTGGGAAGACTGGGAATAAGTTGTCCGTTGTGGTGACAGCCACATTCTGTTGCGTAGCGGGCACTCTGCTGCATACTGTGTGCCTCATGCAGTCAGAGCAGCGTTTCTGTCAGGATCCAGGAAACTGATGAGGTTTAAGTACCTTGTCCTTGTCCTTGACCGTGGCAAATAAGGAACAGAGGTGAGCTCTGGGTAATTCACATCTTCATTGTTATTTCCTTAGTCTTAAGTCATCTGGATATGAAAATTAAAAAGAACCCATTTTTTTTAATTGAGTAGAGTTCTAGTTCTAGCTCTTGTTATTTGACCACTAAGGCTCAGTTCCCTCATCTGTGAAGAGGGGATGGTAATGATGTCAATTCGATTGAGTAACTGTACAGTTTATATAATCATCTAGCGGGATGCCAGGTATTTGTAAATGGGAACTTAGTTAATATGTGATCTGAAAATCCGAACTCTTGTCATTTTTAGCTTTGGGATCTAGGGTAAGTCCACTTGACCATTCTGATCTTCAGTTTCCACCTCTGTATAAAATAGCACTTTCAATAATATACATATCGCCTGCATGGTAAGATGAAATCAGGTGTATGAAACACTTCATAAATTTTAATTGTACTATTCAAATCTTTTTCTCATTTTAAGTAAAGGGTATATTTCTCCAAATGGATTTTGGGGAACTATTTCTGAACACTTGCTTGGGTTGAATTCGATTATTAAGGAAACACTTTTATTTTTAATGCTCACTAAAAATAACGTAAGAGAAAACGGGCTGTTTAGCTGTCACCAGCATTCTGCAGGCAGCACTGTACAATATTTCCATTAATCACACTTCTCGTGGTAGCTTGCTTTATGGTTTGTGGTACTTTCAAATATATGATCTCATTTCATCCTCACGGGGCATGATTGGTAATTCCTCCTTTAACAAATGAGATATTAAGTCTCAACTAATTAAAGTGCCTAGTTAGGAACACACGGCTAGGGGAAGTTTGTAGGTGTCTGCCAGGGGAGCTGGGTGCTGGTGTGTCCTTGAGTGCGGGCATTTTGCACGCATTTGTGTCTGTAGCTCATGTGATACAACCACAGGGTTAGTGTCTAGTGGAGGAGAGGGGATAAGGTTATCCTGAAATTTTCTTTTTTAAAGTGATCGATGGTAGCCTTTTCCTCTTCTTTTTTAGTGTTGCTTTACATAGTTCCCACAAGAGGGCTCCGCCTGGAGAATATGCCTGATTTTATCTGCATTCCCTGTTTAGGAAACAACAGCTCTTCTGTGTCCCCAGCCTTCTGGGAATTACTTCCTCTCTTCTTTGCTTGCCAGCCTTATTGAATTCTCCTTAGCAACATGCGCAAAAGAATTGGTTTAGTAATAGCATGTGAACCAATGAAATGAGAGCATGCAAATAACTTCTCGACCAATGGGAGCCGTGTTTGTCACAAGCTGGTTTGTGGGAGAAAAGAATAACCTGGATTTTGCAGTGCAGCCTCCAGGTGGCAGCAGACCAGCTGTATTGGGCACAGGTCCTTAGCTCTCAACACTGTACTTAACATGTTGAGTTTTTTGAACCTAGTCTGGAATCTGAAGCATTTACTGGCTATAAGAATTTTTACTCCTATAGCCCTGTGGATGTGAGTTCTTCACAAGACGTGGTGAGTATGGCTGGGAGCATGGACTTCTGCTTTTGCCACAGTCAGTCTCGTGACCCCAGCCTGGTCTCTGCCGTCTTTGTTGGTTTTTCTCAGCCACCGCCAGACCAGTGGATGTAGATCTGGATGCTCTTGGTGATTCTGCCTTCCCAGCTACATTCCCTTCATTTAACCACCGCTTCTTCTGGGCTGAGTGGTGAATGAAGTGGGGTTGGTTTTCTGCCACTAATGACTGAGAGCAAAGGGTGTACCACCAACAGATTAGCACTTATACTGCCCATGTTTTCAGATGGCATAGGACTGAGACCCTTCCCTGCCTTGTCATTTCAGCTGCCCGTGTCTGAACAGGAATCCTGACCAGAAAGTAGCTTGAAGTTATCTCTAACTTTAGATGATTTGACTCTCCTTGGGGTGGTTTGGCCCACCCAGTCTTAAAACCAGAGCAGACATAGGCAGGAGTTGAATACTGAATGATAGCAAATGCACGTTTCCATCATTTCGCCATCCTTCTCTTGCCCTTTTCGATAATACTGCATTTAACACCACTCAGTGAGGTTTTGATCCTTGAGATGTTTGTATTTCTTTCTAATGTTTCCATTTCTACTTGGCTTAGTGTTCTCATCCTTTGAGAATCACATAAGGCTTCAGAAAGAATCATTTCATTCATGCCCTCCTCTTCCTCCAGTCTCCTGGGGCTCTTCTTGGTGCACATCCATATATATGTTTTCTAAATCTTCTTCCAGAGAGTCCTCAAGCTTCTTGAGAACGAGGACTGTCCTTTGAATACGCAGCCTCTATATAGTGTTGACATATAATAGGTGTGGCTCAATAAACTTTTAAAAAGGGAGGAAGAAAGGAACTCTGGCTTTTGGAAAATCAATCTCAGGGAGTCAGAGGTATGTGAACCTATGCCTGCGAGTACTCAATACCATGAGCTGCAATTCCAAGCCTGAAAATACCACCAACTGGCTCATCTCATAATGGGTTCCCCTCAGTAACATGGTTTCCTCTATGATTTGTTTAGGAAGAAATAAGGAGCAAATCCAAGATCTGTGCCAATGTGTTTTGTGGAGCTGGCCGGGAATGTGCAGTCACAGAGAAGGGAGATCCCACCTGCCTCTGCATCGAGGTAGGTCCTGGGGGCAGGAACCAGAGGGCTGTGGGCAAAGCCAGTCCAAGGATGCGACTACTACTGACTCCGTCATCTCCATGAGAGCACAATTTGTCACTGGCAAAAGTGTAGAATTTTCTCTCCTGGGATTAGAAGTTTAGCTATGTAAGATTTTTTAAATTATAAAACTAATTCCTATTTATGGTGTAGGCATTCATACAGACATAAAATTAACAATCTTTCCTTATTCTCCTCTAATCCCATTCATCTGTGGTAACTGGTATTGACAACTTGGTATATATTGTTCCAAGTTTTTTTTCTCTATGCTAATATAAACATAATCCCTGTTTTATGCACAATATATAATATGATCGCTATTTTATACAAAAATGAGATTATAGACCAACCTGTACCTTGACCACACAGATTTTTCAGCAAATAAATACACCCAACTTAGCCTCCAAATTCAAGACCCTGATACATTACTCCCAAAAGGAAAGTCTCCCACCTTGGAATCTCTTTGCCCCAGGAGGTCCTCACTGGGCACATCCTGGCCACAGGATGGTGACATGAGCCCAGGTTAGGGTAGATCTGGAAACCTGATGCCTACTCTCAGTTCAGCCATGTACAGTTGTATGATTTTGAGGGAACTGATTCCCACGAATGCCACGAAGAAGCAGCATGTGTTTGGTTTTGGTCAGCACACAGCACACAGTAGGCATTCCGTAGTAAATAGGAAATAATGGCTGAACGAATAAGGAAAGTTTGTTTTTCTGGGCTTTAGTATCTTAGTCTATAAATTGGAGGAATGGGCTTTAGGTCCAATGTTTTGTTTCTTTTTACCACATCTACTCTTTTTTGTTTGTTTTTCATTAAGTTTATTGGTACATTTTAGTTATACATAATGATCCCATTCATCATAGGGAATTTGCACCTATACATGACACATTTTGATTCTTTATTCCCATTTTCCTATCCTCCCATCAACCCCTCTTCCCCTCCTTATTTTCAAAAGCTTTGCTTCCTTTTCTCGTTTCTTTTCCTTTTCCTTCCTTTCCTCCACCCCACCCTAGTCTCCCTACCCATTTGAACATCTACTTTTTCTTTTGTCTTTTCCTTTCTTCTCTTTTCTTTTTCTTTCATCTGATTTGGCCCTCCCAATCTTAAAACCAGAGCAGACATAGGCAGGAGTTGAATACTGAATGATAGCAAATGCCTGTTTCCACGATTTAGCCATCCTTCTCTTGCCCTTTTCGATAATACTGCATTTAATACCACTCAGTGAGGTTTTGACCCTTGAGATGTTTGTATTGCTTTCTATTGTTTCCTTTCCCAAAAAACAAATGTTCTTTGTTTTGTTTTTTTTTTAGTAGGTTTCTTTATTAGATCTGAGATTAACTTGCTTTCCCTTTCTTTTTCCCATTTGTAAAAGCCACAAAAATCTAAAGAAACTGAGCTTGCCTATGATCTTGGCCATATCAACTACAGCCAAAGCCAAATTTAGTTGACAAATGAACTTTATTTCATATTCCTGCCTATAACTATTTTCTGCAGCTCTTCACCCTCACCTATAGCCTCATAATAGCAGTTGTGAAATTAGAAAGAAAATAAAATGGCTCCCAAACACTAAAAGAAAAAAAATGTGTATAAGTAGGCCCCAGAAGAATTTAGAGTATGCGTGTGTGTGTGTGTGTGTGTGTACCCCTGACTACACAAACATCCTCCTTTGGATCTATTTCAGCAATGCAAACCTCACAAGAGGCCTGTGTGTGGCAGTAACGGCAAGACCTACCTCAACCACTGTGAGTTGCATCGAGATGCCTGCCTCACTGGATCCAAAATTCAGGTTGATTATGATGGGCACTGCAAAGGTAAGACATACCATCACCACTGCATGGCAGCTCCAGGCCTGGGAGACAGGGAACAGAGCAGTGGACCACCACAGGACCACATGACTTTCCCACTGTATGAAATCTAAAATCCCAGGGGCCCTCCATGCATAGGAGGAGTGTGAGACCAGGAGTACAGTTCAGTAACCCTAAAATGTCTAAAGGGTAAAGAGAATATCTTAGACCTTAGAAAAAGGAAAAGTGCCAGGAGTGGTGGCATATGCCTGTAATCCCAACATTCTGGGGAGCTGAGGCAGGAAAACTGCAAGTTTGAGCCCTGCTTGGGCAACTTAGCAACTTGAAAGACCTTATCTCAAAATAAAAATAAGAAAAAGGACTGCACATATAGTTTAGTGTGAAGATACTAGGTTCAGTCCCCAGTATTCAAAAGAAGAAAAAAATTAAAAACATTAAAGGAAAGAAGGAAAAAAAAAAAAGATTGAAGACAAAATGATAAAAAACTACCCACGGGCCCCTTTGTTAAGGATGTCTTTAATCCTAGAAATGTGCAGGTATTTTTCTGTTTTTTCACTTTGCATTACACATTTTCGTTTTCTATCTTGCAGAGAAGAAATCTGTAACTCCATCTGCCAGTCCAGGTGAGTCCCTGGCTTTTCCTAAAGTGTCTATGTATCTTAGGGGGATTCTTTTTGAAATGGAAATCCCTGTTAAGCTCGCAAGATTTTCATGTGTCAGAACTTGTGATCCCAGACCAGCCGCTCACAATGCAAGAAAATGGCAAATCTGCATGTTTAGGTGCTTGCTAGCTAAAGCAGCTGGTGGGGCAGTGTGTTAGCTGCTCTCCATTCCTGCTGAGCAGTGGCTACACTGCAAGGACAGGAAGCCAGAGTCCTTCCTTCTTTGCCCTGTAAGCCTCAGGTTACCGGCCCAGAAGTACCAGGAGGCCCAACTCCTCTGAGAAGGGTAACTGGATGTGCTAATAGGGCTTTTCCGGTTTGCTATTAATACAGATTAAAATCTCATCATGATCTGTAGATACAGACCCCTTTCTTTGCCAAGTACTTTCCTCCCACCTCACTGCATCCCACTAAGGGAGACCTCACTGTAATCACCTTACAGAGGAGGAAATGAAGGCTGCAAGAGATCACATCACACAGCTGGGAAGGGCAGAGTAAGAAAGAATATCCATGTGTCCATTCCCACACTCCAGTGTGTGTTGTCTTCCAGGAATTTCCTTCTGCCAAATGCCCCTCTACTCTGCTCCCCATCCACCTGACTCTCAGTCCCACCTGTGGCTTCCACTCAGCTCACAACAGCTTCGTGGAGCAGAGCTGTGGCACAGCCCTTTCTTGGCCATATTTTCCATTGCGTATAATAGAGGATGGTGTTAGTGGTATAAAATTTTAGATGGGAGAAAGTTTGGTAGACCTAGTTGGTGAGAAAGGAGGAAAAACCAGAAATGTGGTGACCTAAAGAATTGTAATGCTGTCATTCATTCGTGTGTTATCTCTGCTCATCTTGGAGCCAGCACAGCTGCTTTAGTACTTGATTTTTTTTTTTCACCTCATCTTCCTGAAGTTAATGAAAATGTTCTGTATTTTGCTGCCCTGTGTTTTTCTGACTTAAGCAACAGAATCTCTCTGTTTCAACATTCTCAATCTTCATAAATGTTCAAGAGACATGAATTTGACTCCTGGGTTAGACACCTCCCAATTGTGTACTCAGGATGTGATCATCTCGTGTCCCCTGGGTGCAGTGAAGGCTGAATCTGATGACTTATGCAGTGCCCAGGCCCTGAGCCCCACGGGTAATGGGTGCCAGATGACACTGAGGCCCTCCCCTCCCCACCCAGCTGACGTGCTTCCCTTTTCCTGCAGTCGTTTGCTATCAGGCCAACCGAGATGAGCTCCGGCATCGCATCATCCAGTGGTTGGAGGCTGAGATCATCCCAGATGGCTGGTTCTCTAAAGGCAGCAACTACAGTGAAATCCTAGACAAGTACTTTAAGGTAATCAAAGTCAGGGTCAAGACTGTTCAGTCCCAGAGAAGCGGGAACTTCCTCCTTCATTGCCTCACCACGACGAGACAACACACACCCGCTTAGAGTCCTGCATTTTATCGTAGATCATTCTGCGAAGCTGTGACCCACCTTGCTTGGTGGGAGCCCAGCAGTCAATCTTGGAACACAACCCACTTCTGCTGCTCCTGTTGGGCAGTGAAACCACAGATGTCTTGAGAAGCTGGCAGGAAGAATACAGCCGTGCTCTATCCCTTACCTCATGTGCCACTTTACAGAGCTGGCTGCTGATGCAAAGTATCTTCTAGTCTCACCCAGTCCCACTTGCTTCAGCCTCTTTCCTGCCCACTTTGCCACTTCTCTAAGTCACTGTATTGACCTCCCACAGCCTGCAGAGCTTCCCCGTCAGCAAGAGCCCATTTGAAGAGTCTGGCATTTTAAGGGTTCAGAGATTCTCTGTGAGCCTACACAGTGCTGTTGCTCATCCTGTCTAGTGGAAGAGACAGTGTTCCAATTAAACCAGGAGAGATGCTGCTTTCAAACAGGAAAATAAGGGAGGAAATGGTATGAGATTTCTCTTAAAGCTTAGAGTCATAGGAGAAGCAGTTGAGGGCACCCTTCAGGGTGATTGACAAGAACACACACACATACATAGGAACATCACACTCAGATAAGCATGTCGCACTCAGAAGTACAGACACATCAACACAGTCACACGCACAACAGGCCGAGACATGTCACACACAGAGACATCTACACACATGCTTTCTGGTACCTACTTTCCCATCAGTCCCCCGCCATTTCCAGACACACATCTCCAGACCTGTGCCTTGGATGCCTGCGTATCCTGAGACCAAGCTCCCCCTCAACTTCCCCCTGGGGTCTGCTGTCCCAGGCCCTAGACAGCCAGGACTCTGGGAGAGCTTCAGACACCGGAGGGGCTTCTTGGGAGCCCCAAGGTCTCTCCATACTCTCAACACCAGTCTATCCAGTCTGTGAATCCATCTTTCTAACTAGCGTTATTGACTCCACAGATGGAGAAATACTGGGTTGGGGTAAGATGAATATTTGACTGCTTAAGACTTCTCTTTATGCTGTTATTTTTAAATAAATTTCCTTTCCTCTGTGGCAGAGATGAAATCTCTGTAGATTCCACATTTTGGAGAGGACACTTGGATGAGAAAGCACAGCCCTGCTCACTCTGTCCTCTGTCTCAGTCACTCCCGCAGGACAACTCTTGCCGAAGGGTGGTTTCTCTTCTACTGAAAAACACACCCTTTTGCTGAGCAGGAGTTGAACAGGAACAAAATGTAACAACACGATTTTATGAAGTCAAGTGTGCGGAACCTGGAGGGCCTGTTGTGAATAGGGACTTGTCCCTGTGATTAGAGCATGGAGCTATGAGTCCACTTGGGACCTTGTGACCATTTGTAGCAGTCATGTGGTGGCACTCGGCTTTGGGCATGTCTGACACCTGCTATAAGACTTGATTCCAGGTGCCCAGGCCTCCTCCTCTCCCAACAATAGCTATTTTAGGCTCCTGGCTGCAAACCACACAGCACCTTGAAAAAGAAGCTTCTCTTGAGGGCATTCTCCCAGATCAGAAAGTGTGGGCACAACTGACAAATACAGAGTTCTTCCCAGACTCTGTGGCAGTATCTTCCAGGAGCAAATTGCACTTTCCCTTGATTGATAATCGCCAGCGGCCTGCATGCTCCTCTCTTCTCAGGACAGCTCCTGTGTAGTAGAGCCTGCGGTGAGAGCTGAGCTCCCAGGAGACTTCCTGAACTACCTGGTGACTTGTTCTCCAGCCAAAGACATTTCTCACACCAAAATAGTGGGAAAACAGAGTGAATATGGCCAAAATCTGCCTTTCACCTCAGCCAGTGACTCAGGCAGTATTTCTTAGGTGAAAACAGAATGAAGAAGAAAAGACCCTGGTGGGAGGAGCCTTGCATGGCACACCAGGTAGGAGACTCCTGGAGACCAGGCTGATGCTGGAGCCAGCCCTGTGTCTGGTGTCAGCTATTCCATTGTCCAGCTACTGTGTGTGAGTGAGTGCCAGGTTCATCCCATCTCTGAACAACCTCCAGATTTAAAATAATGAGCAGCAAGCCTGGATCTCCAACCATCCTCATGTCTGCCTTTCCACAACCCTGCAGGTATCCAGAAGGAAAGAAAGCATTGTCTCAGATACAGAGCTGGGAGGGAGGAGAGGAGTACAGCGTGGCTGTGTCTTTGTGACTGGCTGGTTGAAAAGAGACTGAGTGAGTGAGGCTGGATCATGGTCCAAGATCAAGACCTCACAGGCATTTCCTGCTATTTCTGGGGCGGGTACCAGACTTCTGTGCTTCTGTGAATTTGACACAAGAGATCTACCCTGGGGAGCCCCTCCTAAAATAAGACCGCAGAAGAGCCACAATGTCCCCTCAACTTCCAGCCTGCATTCAAACCCACTGATGTTAGAAGTGTGCACACACAGCACTGCCTTTGTGAGCCTCCTGGTTGGCAAAATTCAGGATGCCCACGGGCCCTCCATAGAGGGTCTGCAGCCAGGGCAGGACTAAACCCCCTTCTATACTCTGTTATGAGGCCCTGGTGATACTGGGGTCTCAGGGTTGTTTCTCTTGGCCCTAACATGTTTGGAATCAAGAAAATCCTTTGTTCCTAGAATGCCCGCTGGCCAAGCTGATTTAATTACTCTCTGGGTTAATTAAACCAAGACCTCACAAGGTAAACTATAGGAAAGTTTCCTTGGGGAAAATGTACAGTGAATACAGAGTATCTGAAACTAGTTTCTGGGAATTAGGATGAGAATGGTAAACATGTAATAGCCAATGTCTTTTCCTTTCCTGGTATTAGTCTCTAATAAATATTAATAAGAACCCCTAAGGAGACCACAGCACAGGGCAGAGGGATGGGGACTCTGTACCATCCCTGCCACAGCATACCGACTTGGGGCCTGTGCCTGTGAATTCTCACTCGTGGGTTCCAAGTATCAGTGTGACACTTAAGACCTGAGTTAAGTACAGGGAGGCTGGAAATCAAATAGCAAGATAAAGGTTGTATGATTCCCAAAGGGAGCTTGGAAGGTCACTTGCATTGCTGCTCCTTATTAGAAGCACACATTCTGGGCTTCCTGAGGTTCTGGCTTGAAGCTTGTGAATTTATACTCTTGTTACATGTGCATGAGGGTTTGCACATGGGCGGGTCGGAACCCAAGGGTAGGGATGAGAGTGTCTGCAGGACTGTATCAGGAACAGACCACAGCATGCTCTCAGGTACCCCGGGCCTCCAGGTAATGCAGGCCTCCATCCAGACTGCACCTCCCCATCAGGCTCAGGACTGACGGACCCTGTGCCCGGAGCTTTGACTCACTCATCTCAGGGTACCGGTAACTTCTTTAGATGCTCAGCAACTACTGCCTTGGTTGCTCAGCTCCTGGAGGCCAGGCCAGAGAATGCTGCAACATGTCAAGAATGGGGTGAGCTGGCAGGGTGGGAGTGGAATGGAGGTTTTATGACACATTGTTGAGAAATCTTTTAACCCCCTTCGTAGAATTTTGATAACGGTGACTCTCGCCTGGACTCCAATGAATTCTTGAAATTTGTGGAGCAGAATGAAACCGCCATCAACATCACCACCTATGCAGACCAGGAGAACAACAAGCTGCTGAGGTGAGACAGTGGGGTCAGGGAGGGGACGGTGAAAGGCCGCGTGGGAGAAGGGTTTGAGCCCCTCTTCCTGCTATAGAACCACCATTGCCAATGTGAAATAATGGAGAAAAATACAGATTCTGCTTATTCTATGCTCTGAACATTATAAACGAATATATCATGCAGCACTTATTCTGATTAAGTAGTTATTGCTTTTGGCCAAAACATTCAAGGAAGAAAAGATGTAGTTTTAAAATAACGGATCAGAGTCACATCAGAATAAAATTATTTCTGAGTGTTGTAGGTGATGTTTTATTGGTTGATTTTTCTGAAGGAATGTATTAGTCCATTACCAAGTAGATCTAAAATAGCTTCAGTTCTGATTCTAAGGTAATTGGTGTGGTCTCACACCACTTTTCTAACTGTTACAAATGTATGTCATCTCCTTTTCTGGTATTAGTCTAGGATAAATATTAGTAAGAATTAACCCCTAAGCAACTACTGGTGTGGTCCCAGTTTGTTGATAGAATTAAAAATAGGAAAGGAAGTACAAAGAACAGCTTCTAGAATTCTTCCTAACTCTAGCCCATGACCTTAGGGTATAGGATCTGTAAATCCTTCATATTTTGATGACTTGAATTTAGATAATTTTTATGATTTCAACATTTGACCTTGTAGCATCTCAGGGAAGGAACGCTTTTTGTCCTCCCTTTACAAATAAGAAAATGAGCTGAGAAAGCTGAATATCTGGCTCTAGACCATTTGATTAGTAAAAAATTGAGCCAAGGCCCAAATCCAAGTCAAGGAGCCACTGATGGTGCTAAGGGTTGATAGATCTTTTCTGGAAGATCTCTTTCTGGAATAGTGATAATAGTGATTCTTGCTTCAATTCCATATTCATTCAAATCCCACACTCCTTTCATAGCATCTGTCATATCTTGTGTTTTGATTTGTCTGGTTCACTCGATTTGACAGTTGTACTATGGGAAAGTTGATCACTAGAGAAAGGTGTGCAGGTAGGAAAAGCGTTTGTCAGTCAAGGTGGACAAAGCTGTTCACAAAACGTTCATCATGGGGGAACATTTGAACAGCTTAGTGATACTGACATCTAGCTTAATAATGTGATCATTATAGATGCTCAGGGGAGTCAAGATGGATAATGGTTGCAGCAGATCAATGTCAAGGGAAACGTTTCCAAAAAGCAGTCGTTTTCTTGGCCTCTGGGAGGACCCAGGTATATCTAAGTCTGATGTTTCCTTTCTCCAGTGAGAAGCTGAGGTCTGACTGACACATTTCTCCCCTATTTTATTTCAGAGGACTCTGTGTTGATGCTCTCATTGAACTGTCTGATGAAAATGCTGATTGGAAACTCAGCTTCCAAGAGTTCCTCAAGTGCCTCAATCCATCCTTCAACCCTCCTGAGAAAAGTAAGCTTAACCTAGAAACCGAAAGTTGTCAGGGATGGAGGTACTAGTGGGGAGCAAAATGGAGAGGTTTGGTGGGATTCTGTGGGGCTGGCTGAAAAAATCTGCCTGCACGGCTCTAGACTGAGCACCCAGTCCATCTACTCCATGGTGAAGCTAAGGCCCAAGAGTCTTTATTTTGATGGGAGCATCTGCTTCGCCATGGTTCCTCTGGCAGGCAGACATCCTTGCCTTTGCCTCAGAAATGGGGACAGTGCACACTGTTTCAGCCTTACAGCGAAACTGTTGCCCTTTCTGGTCTAACAGAGTGTGCCCTGGAGGATGAAACATATGCAGATGGTGCTGAGACTGAGGTGGACTGCAACCGCTGTGTCTGTGCCTGTGGAAACTGGGTCTGCACAGCCATGACCTGCGACGGTGAGCTGCACCTCCGACGGAAAAAAGGGACAGTGTCAAGAGCCGGCCTGGGGATGACAGGGAAGAGGGCACTACCTGGGAACACAGAACCCAGGGAGCACAAGCTGGGCCTAGACTTTCAGTGTCAAGGCTGCTAGGGGACGCTTGTAAGGCAAAGTGCTTGTCCCAGATGCACTGCATTTCAAAATTACTCCAGAGACTTCAAACAGGAGAGGATTAAGAGGAACAAGAATAAATGTTGCATTCAGACTGGAATGATGATAACTGGGAAAGCAAACTGTGATTTAGTGAGAACTCTGTGCCAGGGCCTCTTTTAAGCACTTTATATAGTATCCGACTAAGTGGCAAAGCACTTGGTCATTGTGACATTTAGGAAATACTGAGTATAAAAGACTCAGGTGGTTGGAAGACAGAATGGGTCTACCTTGCCATACCCAGCAGAAAAAAAGATAAATATCTGTGAACACTCTGTACTCTAAAGGAATTCGGCAGACTTATAAAGCAAACAAAAACTAAATGTTGAGATAGGTGACAAGGACTGGCTGGGTTGGGGAGTAAAGACATCAGAGAGACTTTGGGGTACAGGACAGAAGCTAAGGGGTATCTCGGTAGTCATTTGGGTCCCGGGCTACACTGATGCCAAAGATCAAGCAAAACTTAAACCAGACCACATACTCAGTAGCTACTTGCAGCCACTAGAGGATATCTTAGAACAGTGGCCCAACCTGCCTCAACCAGGAATATTTGTCTTCTCCAGGTTCCCTCCAGTGCCCGTGCACATCTAGCTGCTCCTGTTTTGGCTTCATAAAAGTATCCCTCTATTTCTGAGACACAGTAGAGGTGTGTAGCTGGTTGACAGAATCCTAAGCGTGATCATCTGCATAGTGATACATCAGCCAATAACGTGCACCAAATAGAACCCAAATTCTCACCCCATGGGACATTGCCTGTTTCTCTTACCACACAGCTCTGGACTTTCCATCCTCCTTCCTTCTCTCCTTTCTCCTTCCCTCCTCCCAAGAAGGCTGAAGTTCAAAGCTCTGTATGTATACAAAGAGTGACCCAGGGGCTGAGGGCGTAGCTCTCTGGCAAAGTGCTTACCTAGTATGGTTGAGGCCCTAGGTTCTAACTCCAACACTGAAAATAAAAAGTAATGACTCAGATGGTGGTACCCTGGGGGCCTCAGCACATCTTGGCATGTAGATCTTGGATTTAAGAGGAAATTATAGAGGCTTGTGCCTGAAAGCAGTCTAGGCTTAGACCAGAGATCCCAAAGGGAACAAGCACCTGAGGTCTGCAGCCAGATGGAGCCTGGGCCAAGGGAAACTGTTGTGGGGAACAGATTGATGCCAATGTCCAGTCTTTGCTAATGGCAAGTATTATGTTCAATAAACGTAGAGCATCCTAGGCTCCGTCCCAACTCTACTGAATTAGAATCTGCAAAAAGAACAGCTGCAGAACCTGTGTAATTTTAGTTGTATTTTTGTGCACGTCTGGGAAACATTGCTAGATGCCGTGGTTATCAACCCTGGCCACATATCAGAGGCACCAAGAGACCCTTTTTTAAAAAAATAGGTGCGCAGGCCCCAACTGACATCAATTAAACCAGACTCTCCAAAGGAGAAAGCTAGGCAATTCTGTTTGTTTGTTTGCAGGGTGCAAGATCAAAGCCAGGGCTTTGCACGTGCTATGCAAGTGCTCTGTGACTGAGCTACATCCTGAGCAGGAATTTCATTTTAAAATGTTCTCCAGGACATTTTGGGGTCATGTAAATGGTGGCGTATCACTGTCCCAGGGGAACTGCCTGAGCCAGGACACAGATTCTCGGCATAGCTTTTGCTACAGGGCCAGCCTATGGCATAGATGTGCTGAGCAGTTGAAGGAGACACTAGGAACAGGCCAGAGAAGAGTCAGGGCAGACTGCTTGTTCAGTCTGTTACCTTGGGGTATCAGCTGCATGGACGTCTTCATGCCTTTATACTCAGAGAAATGCAGATGATGTTCTCCTTCCACAGGTTAAATAAAGATGAATTGAGAATGTATAAGGCTAAGCTGGGTGGGTAACCCTTGGCTTACCACAGCCAGCACTGCTCTGAGCTTTGGTTCTTCTCACAGGAAAGAATCAGAAAGGGGCCCAGACCCAAACAGAGGAAGAGATGACCCGATATGTCCAGGAGATTCAAAAGCACCAGGTGAGTGACAGACACCTTGCTGGTTCAGCTGCTGCTGCCAACAGGCTCTTACATGACTCAGACACTTCCAAGGTCCAGGAAACCAAGGAGATATACTTTGTTCAATACAGTAGGTCCTGAGACATAGAACCTTGATAATATAGATTATCAAGCCACAATACGGACAGTTTCCTAATAAGAGTCCTCTAGCCCCACAGTTTCCAGCAGATATAGGATACAGCTTGGTGAGTGACTGCGTTAGTGAGATGGTAATTTGCAAATGAGCATGATCTAAAGAAATATCAGTGTTAATGTTTCCTGTTGTTACCAGTACCCAAACTCGAAGGTTATGCACTCCTTAAGAGCAGGCTCCATAACTTGCTTGTGATTGTACCCTTGCATGTGGTATGGGGCCGGTTACACAGTCTGTGCTCAGTGGGGGTGAAATGAAGCACAGTGAAAAGAATTCAATAAAATACCCATCTGGCTAGAAAATAGCTTGTGATTCACAAAGATTCTCCTCCTAGAGGCTCAGGAAGATTGAGAATTGTTCTGCGTTTTTTATGTCATTTAATTGAATGCCTCCTTGAGGAAAGGTTTCTTAGCAGGATACTGATCAATGGACACTTTGTGGCAGTATCAGACCCTACTCCTAGCCACTGCCTTGACATGTAGCGTTTACATGATATTAGACCTTATATTACATACCCATACACCAGGTCTTGTAATAAAGCTTTCTCCCTGGAATACAGGTTTTCAGGGTATATAATGATCACAAGAGCTGCTGATCTACTGATATGAAATATTTGACAATTATTATTAATTATTGCTCATATTATATACACTTTGTCATCAATGATCATGTAGAAATCTCAGATGTTTAAGCAGAAGCTTCTAGTCGCTTGTGTCACCAGTCTTGAGTGTCCAAATGAGCACAACCCCATAAAAGGGGGGAGGGGGAATTTCATAGGAATTTCTTTCATTGAAGGTAGAAAAATTATACCAGAGCGACAGTGATAGTGAATTCCAACAGATTTATCTGTCTTACAGAGTTCACTCAGAAGTAGGCGCTGAGGCAGGGAATCAAGTAGAGAGAGTACATGGGAGCCAGTCCCAGGAATCAGCAGGAGAGGAATAGGGAAAATGTGTCCAGGAAGGAAGCAGTAAAGGGCGTGTTCAAGCGTGGTAACAGCATGGACACACAGGACTTAATCTTGTGGGGAATTCTGGGAACAGAGTTACTATGCCAGGCACTGTTGTAAAAAGTCCTTCATAACCCTTGTATTGCAGTTGAAACACAGGAGGTTTCACAATATGCCCAAAGTCACCAGAAAGTAGCACAGCTAAATCCAGGCTGAAGCAGTCTGCTTGTGGAACCTGCTGGCCTTCATTCTCTGGGTCTTGTTAGAGTCACAGCATCTCATAAATTTCCATTTAGTGCCCCTTTCTTTATTTTTAAAATGGAGGTGACCAGATCTGATCAGTTAGTTTCATAGGAGTCCACACAGGATCACTTCTTAATTTAGGAAACAGCGCCTGTGCCACCACGTCATGAAAAGAATGTGGTCCTTGCCCCCTGAGTTGTTCAGCATCCACAGAGGAGCTAGAGAAGTAAACAACAAATTCAGCCTAAGCATGCGTCTGTCAGAGCATCATACTGTTAAATATTTCCATCATGATGATTTTCTTTTGCATCTCAAAGGAAACCGCTGAAAAGACCAAGAGGGTGAGCACCAAAGAAATCTAAGAGGCAGGCACATAGGAAGACCGTCGGAAGCGCAGCACCTTCTCTTCTACTTCAGTGCTGAGTCCAGTATACCAAGTGTCTGCTACAACCGCCAAATCACCAGTATTTGCTTGTATAGCAACACATTTTATCTTGTTTATTTGTTTTGCAATAAAGGAAATGGGCATGGCTGGCTAGGAGGGGATGGGCCATAGCCTCCATTTCTAGGAGAGCTGTGAGAGAAACTATATATGGTGCTCTGGGGCTGGAAGCAAGTACGGAAACTGCATCAGGTTGGGAGAGGGAAGACCCAGAGCTGAAGCCTCTTTGAGGTCACGGCAGCTATGTGTGCTGCAGGGAGTGAATGCGATGTCAGAGAGGACTGGGCGGGAAGGCTCAGACCCAGAGCTGAAGCCTCTCTGAGGTCCTGGACCACATTCTGCTTCCGGCCCTGTTGACACCGCTGTCAGTATGACATGTCCAGCATCTCTGCTTCTCCTCTTGGTCCCAGCCACTTCCTCTAAACACAGCCATCCTGCTAGTGACCCATGCCCCTCAGACTTGGATGGAGTTTCCGGGAGTGTGCCCGAATGATGCAGATACTTGTATACTTTGAGCCCAGTAGAGACCTAACCAAATTTTTAAATACATTTTACCAAAGGTGCTACTTCTCTGTAAACTTCTTTTTCTTTTTTGGAAGTTGACTTCATTTTTCAATTATTATCATTATATTGTTGTTTTATATTTTATTTTCTTGACTAGGTATTAAGCATTTGTAATTATTTTTCAGTAGTTCTACCTTTTCTGAGGTGAAGGAGTTTGGAGTTCTTCCTGGTGCAAGGACCTCTGTAATCCAGACACCCCTGACCCTGCCACAGACCAGACTAGATGCAGCCCTAAGTTGGTCCCTCGGTTTCCAGCAGGTCCACTGTGTGCCAAGGCAGTAGGGAGGCCTCAGACAAAAGCCAGGGGAAGAGGAAGCATCTTCATATAAAACTTACAAGATTCAAAAAGTTAAATTGTGTTCTTTTACTGTGAGAAGATCAGGCCAATCACCGTTTCGAAGGATAGAGGCTTAGCATATTCCAGCCTACCAACACGCTCATTGCTCTACCAGTAACATTAGCAGAGTGATTTTGATCCTATTTCTTGCAATTTCTGGGCCCCAGTTTCCTCAGTGAGTGGTTAAGAATGCATTAAGCTTTTGATTTGATAAATTCTAAATTTTGTGATTCTGCCAGTTGTCTAGAGAACAACAGGTTCCTGTGATTTTCCTCCTTCTCCTTAGGATAAATGAAACTTTATTATAACAAAGAAAAGTCAGCCAAAAATCAAGATAGCCAAGTTTGACCTCAGTCTGAATAAGCCTTACAGTTTGTGCTGATAGTTGAGGCCTTCCTGGGAAAGCTGGCCCAAAAAGGACAAGAGAACCACCCTGCTAGTCTTCAGCTGTGCATATCATGTGCAACCTCTTGTTGGAGTCAGAAGGACCTTTCCCTCTAGAGTTGAGGCCCAAAGAAGGTTTCAAATTCAAGAGGAGTAAACAATGGAGATTGAGCCTTACAGCTAAGCCGTGGACAAGTCAGTTATTTGCAGTTATGCTTGCGTCTTTTGGCTCCTAATTATTAAACCTCCTCAATTACCATATTTCAGATACATTTGGCATAACGAAAAGCAAAAACTGTACCTCATTTAGAAAAATCAAGTTACAGACCCTCAGAGAAAAGATATTCAGATAGTACTGCACAGGCAACAGAGAACTTTGTGCCAGCAAAGGAACTCCTAGTTTTCCTGGTTCTCATTTGAAAGGAAAAAATCCCACTTTGCTTAGTTAGAATTCTGAACTTTTATGTGTCACCCCAATTTTAAAAAGCTCTCTTTGAACTTCATGTGTGCAGTCTGAAATGCAGCTCCCTGTCCAAGTGCCTTGGAGATCCCACAGCAGCATGCCTTAATCAAAGGAAGTTTTGCCAGCTCTTGGACACAATGGGAGAGGGCAAGAGTACCAGTTTGTTTAAAGCAAGATGCCAGTGTTTCTTCACTGGTCACATTTAGAGCAGTGATTGCCGTCCAAGACTCTGCCCACTCTGCAGCAGTCAATTCCCAGGAGCGAGCCACGTTTCTCGAGTCTGCCGCTTCTGTATAAATAGGGCAGCTGTTGTCTGCACCGCAGAATTGTGTGATCTGAGGGCCATTTGTGGAAAGCTGCTAATTAATAGCCTGCCTAGTTTGGGGAGTCTTGCATAGAGCTTTGTGTGGAGCAGATGGGGAGGATTAAGTCAGGTTCAGTTCCTTTAGCCTTCGAAAAACATATAGGACGTAAACTGCAAGCTTCCCGGACTTCCTCTGTGTGTGTGGTTTTACAGTGTCTGTTGAAATCCAGGGTCCATGGAAACCCATGTTCCATAACTCTGGATGCTATGCTGTTTTTTGAAAAACAGTGTTCCTCCACCTGCTGATAAGCGCATCTGAACCAGTCTGAATGTCTTTCCTTTACACATATGGTTTAAATAGTCAAAACTTCAGGAAGCAATTTGAATAGGGTTCTATGGCCTGTGTGTTTGTGAAAATGTATTTGTACTCAGTAGGCTTCTGTATTGCATTTAACTTGTTTTTGTAATTTCTGATTTTTTTCCCTTTTGGTTACTATTGATAAATAAAGTAAGTCTTTTATTGGTTTTCTCCCGCCTCCAATTAAGACAAAATAAATGTAAGACATTAAACATTCACTTTGTCAAGGTGGGTTTGAGTTTCAGGAGCCTTAAAAGGGGGTGGAAGAGTTTCTCCTGCAATCAGTTTCCTTAAAGGATCGCAGAGGGTGGTTCTGGGGCAGGACATGCTGAGAAGTTAGTGGGAAGTGCCTTGGCCCGGCCCACCAGGCTGCTATAACAAAATAGCTCACGTGTCATTTACTTTTCTTTTCTTTTTCGATCCCGGAGATCAAACTTGGCAGAACCACTGAGCTAAATCCCCAGCCCTCACCCTTGTCATTTATAAACAGTTTGTTCCTCACAGACTGGAGGTTGTGAGGTCTAAAATCGAGGCACCAGTTGCTTTTAGCTTTCAAGAAGGTGCCTTCTTGCTACATCTTCACGTGGCAAAGGGTGAACAAACTCTCCCAGACACTAATTACACAGATTACTGTATGAAAATCAGTGGAGTAAACCACAAGGTGAATCTCATTCTGCAGGTGTTCCCAGTTCTCAAATGCTCCTTGTTTATACCTTTGTGACAACCTGAGTCATACCATCCGTTATGTGTCAATACATTCAACTACCTACTCAGAGGATCCTGTCAAGATTCAGATACACAACTAGTGAAACTGGGGTTACATGCACTGATGATAGATGAGACTTTGAAAGTCCAAATAGATGAAGGGACATGTAGAATTTAACAAACAGTTTTTGAGTCTTATGTGTCAGGCACTGGGAAGGGGACTATGATTAAACTCAGCCCTTTCTCTCAGGAAGTAGGTCAGCACTCTGTGTGATATCTTGTGATCATACTATAACAAAGATAAAAGGGGCCAGGGATTTGGCTCAGTGGTTTTGCTACCTGCCTCACAAGTGAAAGGGCCTGAGTTCAATCCCTAGTATAAAAATAATAATAATAATAATAATAATAATAGACAAGGGCCTAGTTCCATCCCCCATACAAAAAAAAAAAATCCTACCCATAGAGCTACATTTGTATATAAGTTATATCCCAAAGGAATCAACTGGTATGAATAACTTGAGCAGAAATTAGATGACAGGAAGGAAGAAAACTACTTAGAGAAGCTTTGTATAGGGTTATTTCTTCTACATCATCAGGGCATCATCAACAAAAACCACAGACAGAAAAATGGCACAATGGTCAGATTTATATATGAGAGCTATGCATGTAGAGAACCCAGATAAAAATGGATCTTATCAATAAATCAAAACTGACAAGGAACCACTATCTACATAAAAATAAGCATATATGACTTTTCTGGAAAACAAGTCAAATAAATTTAGGAGGAAGGAAGAGGAAATACACCCTCATGGCTATTGCTGCAACTCACAGGTCTTATCTGACTTCTTATGGCCAGATCAGAAATTTTCATAAATTTGAAATAGGGCCAGTAAAAAGAATGGATTGCCAGGAAAATAATGAAAGATGAGATTGTGAATGAAACGTGATATTTAAACAAGAAATTTGTACAAAATGGTCAAGAAAATGAAATAATGTTTGCAAAGAAAAGGACTTTACCCTCCTTGTTCCTGGTCTGGTTTTAAACACACATGTTAGCAGAATTTGTCCTTTTTCAAGGCACTGGGACAATTGAAAACAGGTTTGCCCCAAAATTCTTCCACCAGATCACAGTCAAAGCTGATGGCAAAAAGTTTTATATCTTTATATATTCTTTATATTTAATAAATTTCATTCTTAATTTCATGTTTTAATATTTCTGAACTGACGTAACTCATTCTTCTTATTCCCATTGATCCTACACTGAGAGACAATGTAAAACAGTTCTTAATAACCAGACTTCTTAGGTTCGAACCTTGGTTCTGCTCCTACTTCTCATGCTTCTGAAAGTTATGAGGCATGATCAAAAACTACAAAGAAGGTTAAAAATGTATTACAACAAAAGACACTTCACCACTTACTCCTCTCAAAATACCTCCCTACATACACACTTCAAACATATGTATCCTAACATTCTTTCCACTTTCTGAAGCAGTTCTGGAAGTTCTTTCTCGTGAGTGCAAAGAACCAGAGGTTGCATGGTGCCACATTTGGTGAATAAGGTAGATGAGAACACCCTGTGATGTTTTTACAAGCCTACCTCTCAGTTGGATGGCACTTGGCAATAGTATATAACATTTTTGATCACCCAACATAAAGACACCCATAAAAAGAAGACTTCCAGGACTGCTTTAAAAAGTGACCAGAAAGCCAGGCATGGTGGTGCATGTTTGTAATCCCAGTACTTGGGAGGCAGAAACATAAGGATTGCCCCAAGTCTGAGGCCATCCGGAGTTATATAATGAATCCAAGGCCAGCCTGAAGTATATAAGGAGGCCCTGTCTCAAAAAAAGCTATAAGTAGAGCCCAGCAGCCAGAGGAGACCAACAGCAGATCCCAAACCTCCGGTTGGCCTGTCCCTTCAGCCCAGTGCACCAGAGGAGCCCAGCCACACAGGTGCCAACACAGCATTGTTCATGCCCCACCCCCTTGAACAAGCGAAAGAGGGCCTAAGGCTCCTTGATGAAAATGGAAGCCCACTGGAAAAGTAAAGAAAATCTGTGATAAAGGCACATCAACCCACCATAGTTGGTAAGTTGGAGGGTCCAGCACCTCACATCAGAACCTAGTCTAACTTCAGGAGAAACACAGCTGGAACCTGCAGAAAAAACCTTGAAGAGTCTGACCCAGCAGGAGGTCAGAGATCTCAATTTGGGCCTTGCAGCCAGAAACCAACCTGAACCTCAGGGGTCAGCTGCTGGCTTACTGAGACTAATTAACTTAGACCTGCACACTCCTGCCCACGCTGTCTATTGTGTCAACAGAGGCACACCCTGAAGGAGACCCGCTATTTCTATTTGTATTTTTTATTTTCAAAGTAATATTTTTCTCTTATCTTTAAACACTTAAATTTTTTTATCTATATCTTTTCTCAAATTTTTCCTTTTTTAATCTTCTTTTTCTTATTTTCTTTTCTTTCTCTCTTACTCTCTCTCCCACCTTGATCTCCATTATTCTTTTTGTTCTTGTTCCTACCCTAATTCAAATTTATTTTTTTCTTTTCCTTTTCTTCTCTCTTTCCTTCTCTCAATTGCCATAAGTTTTAAAAGGAAGTGATTACAGTCTCTAGCCTTCCTATTTATGTTAGTTTGTTCTGTTCTTGGGTATATTTTGTTCTTTCTTCTCTTCTCTTTAACAGCTCCCTAGATTTTGTGTGATCTTCCTGTGTCTTCTGACCTCACTTATAACCTTTCTCTATTCTATCTCTCCCTCCCCAACTCCTTCTAAATCCCCATCCTGAAGGCTATACTGAAGAGTTTATTCACAATAAACATATTTTGGGTTTCCCCCACCAGGAGCCACCATCCCTCCAGCACCAGGAGGGCTGCCTGGGCCCTGATCCACGACGGGAAGGATAGCCACGCCTTCCCCCACCAGGAGCCACCATTGCTCCAGCACCAGGAAGATACTCCCCTACAACACCCCCCCCCCCCACAAACCTCCTGATTGAGCCAGTCTTTGGGCCCACTCTGCAGAGGCAGAGGTGGTCATAGAGGGTATTTTTCTGAGTTCCCAAATTTGAATATCTTTAAAGAAAGGGCATGGGAAACCTGTAGTAGAACGGTGTGGAGTTCAACTGTTCAGAATGTTGGGGAATTCAATCTGGGCCTTGCAGCCCAAGGTCAGTCTGCATCATAGGGTTCAACCATCAGCTAACTGAGATCAAGGGTCTTGAGTCCTAGCTCTGTCTGAGCCCCCATCCTAAATGGTAAATGTACTATATTGAAAAGTTTGTTCACTGCAGACATGTTTTTGGACTGCTGCTTGATTTCAATTTAATTCAAATGGTTTAAGGGTGATAGACTAGTGACTACCACAGGCGGTCAGTTTCCAAGTTGTGCTTGATCACAATGTGTTACTGATTGTATCAGTTGGGATAAAGGATTGTGGTTGATTTGATGAGCTGTTTTCTCTGATGTTAT